CTGATGTTAGAATATAGATTTTTAAAGCTGGAGGTAGAGATTTATTATTCTGTTTTTTAACTCTCCAGGTATTACTTCAACCCAGTATAAAACCTCTCGGTTCCTTCCAGTTTTCCTGAATTCTTTGGAAACATACTTGCTTAAAGTGGCATCAGCTCGTCTTCCTTACCAGGAAAATCTTTTCATTGCCTACCAAATATTTAGAATTTATGTTTGGAATCTTCCCTCACTTGTAAAATGGTAGACATGCCTATGCAAAGACGTTACAGTTTTCCTTTATTGTGCTCTTGTGTCCTCTCCACTTTGACCACTATGTGGTACATTCTGCAGAAGGCCATAGATTCCTTAGGTTCACTAATATGAAGCATTCGAGGCCAAGAGTAATGATTCTCCTGGATCCATATAGTTAAGTAGCGATAGTAGTGGATATGGTCCCCTGCCTTATTCTTAAATAATGGTTCTTTCTGTTAAGTTCTTTCACCTACATTTTTTTCTATGTTAAAAAATGCACCTTTATCTCTGCTTTTTACTAAGTACCTGGCCTTGAGTGAGTTAACTTACCTACCTATGTCTTGCTTTCCTCACTTCTGAAATGGATTGGTAACCACACCATGAGTCTGTTTGAGGATAAACAAGTTAATCATATAAAACATGCAGTACCTGTTATATACTTTGGCCTATAGTAGGTAGTAAAACAAATTAGCTGCTATTATTATGATTATGATGATGAAGATAATGATAGAAATGTTGAAATCTTTTTTATATTGCACCAAATTCACAGAGTTAAATTCTATAAGGAAAATTCTAATTTTCTATTAACTTTCATTTTACAATTGTTCTTATTTTCCAGTGGGTAAGATTATTCTTGTGAAAATACAAAGTCACAAAAAACTAGTTGCATTATTGAGCACTGTAATTACCACCACTGATAAACACAGCCCTCCTCTAGAAATTGTCCTTTTCTTTGCAGAAATTTCCTCCCTTTTTGACCTTGCAACTGTAGCAGGGTATTTTTCTCCTGTTGGACCATAGGCATTTATTCAGAAACCTCTATATTTTCCCTATTTTGATTATGGACTTAATGTCAGTACTTGGTAGTCACAGCATTATTGTATCTGGCTTGCTAGCTTACTCCTCCAGGTATTACAGATGAAAAAGTGTTGTTCTTCAAAGCCATGGCTTATATAAATTTTCTAAGGCATAGGGGCAAATTTCATGTCATCTACCTGCAGTGAAAAATATCAGTTGCTATTAATATCAGTGCCTCTTTGGAACAATTTTTACAATGATCATTAAAAGTACCCTGTAATTGTCTTCTTCCCATAATGCATATGTTTTAGTTTCCTATATTAGTTCACTGTTATAGACTGTTTTAAAATTCCAGTAGCGTTTGAGTTAACCATGCATTATTAAAAAAAAACAAACAAACAGGTAAGATACTATCAGAAGTGGAGAAAACATAGTATATGTTATGTTGATTTTTCAATACTTTAATGATCCTAGGAGTGTAAATAATAAGATTTATTTCATAGCACATGTACTAGAGACATTTTCAAAATAATTTAAAAGTTATATGTATTAGATATTTTTACAATCTAAAGGTAGATTAAATGTCATGATCAGGAAAAATACAGTACATTTTCCCAAATGATTAATTGTGTGAACCATGACACATGTGTGAACATCTTTTCATGTTTGATCAGTTTTATTCCTGATGGTAATAAAAGCAAGTAAATGAAATGTACAATGTTGACTGCAAGGTAATGGTTGAAATTTTTATATGCATAAAGGAGTCAGGGTGAATTTATGGTCTTGTGACAGCAGTGGGCTGTTAATGCTCTATGTGTATTCTTACAGTGATCTATCGCACCGTGGCCAAAGTACCATGGGGGCAAAAAGCGCAGCTGGCGTGTACTGTGTGTGTTGATTTGCCTCTCTCGGATGTGCGAAATACTGACTGAGACCACTTTCATATAGCTTCTGTGTTTTTGTTCAGGACTAGATGTTCCATCACAATCAGCCTTTCTTTCTTTGGCGTGAATGAAATGCAATAACAATGTGGAATGAGGAGAGTTAAGGTTACACAGTCTTTTTTATACTCTGGCACCATGCATTTCACTTCAAAAGTTTTTTGGGGATGCTGAATATGTGATTCTAAAATATATCAAGTTAGTTTTGTCCCTTTCTTTAGTTCTGGAAAACTTTTAAGTTCCATACTCTATTGAATCAAAAGTAGAGGAAAAAAAATGGCTTAGTTTCAACTCCTTTGCCTCATTTTCCAGAGCATCCTTGATCCCACATATTTGCTGGCGGAGGGCTGTTACGTGACTTAACAACCCCACCTTGCTGCTCCTTGTCTGCCATTCCCTTCGCCACCCATCACGTCCTCTCCCTTGCTATTTCTTGAATTTTGGTATTTTAAATCAGCCTTTGGTTTTCATCTCTCTCCTCCTACTTCCAGGCAGGAAGAGAGGTATACTTTAAATTGTACTGTTGTTGTTGAGGGGTAATTGTTTTATTTTAGTCTTAGATGATAAAATCTGCTTCTATAAACTGAACCTGAGAAAAAAAGGAGACAGCTTAATAGATGTCAACTTTTAAGTAATTGAATATAAGAAAACAAACGTTTTAGAATACATCATCTATTATAAACATGTTTAAAATCAACAGATCTTTATCTACAGTGCTGTAATATATCAAAAAGAAACTCAGTGGAAGTTAATAGAAATTAGTTAAATTGAAGTCCTTTTGTAGGAAGGCTGTTTTTACAAGGAAAACGTAATACTTCATAGATTTCAGCCAGAAGTCCCGGGCAGGTTTGGAGAAGTGTATTGCTCACAGCACGGTCATAGCAAAAAGGTTCAGTTCTGAAAGACTCCTGGAGGACTTCTTTCTTGCCCTTTTCTGTATATCTAGTGGCCACTCTATAGAGTTTGTCAACCCAGTAGTCCCCCTATTTAGAACCTAGTCTATTGTTATTTGCTTACCTTTTATAGCATCATCACCTTGAGTTGGCAAAGATTTCTGATTAAAGAGTCTGATTGATGGGAGTCTTATGCTTTTCTTACCTGGGTGCACAATCACTGCTCATGTCTTTGTGGTCTGTTTCTGGGCAATAAAGTCAGGCAAAATTTCCTAATAAATCATTAGTGTTTCCACTTATAAGCCTAGTATTAGAAGCAAAAGGAATTCCTTTCATTCTGCTTGGAATAGCTCTTCAGATACTCTATAGAAAACTTAATTTTGAAATGTCAAAAACCTAGCTAAGGAGAATTCCTTTGAATTTTTAAAGCCCATTACTTTATCAAGTCAGATTATGAAAAGCTATGTACTTGGGCCACATTTCAGTAGCCTTTTGCATAGATGCTTTAAAAGAATTATTATTTAATGGTAAGCCCTTGACTTATTATTTAATAGTACAAGACAGTTAAAGAGGAGACTGTATGACAACCTCCTCTTGTTTCTTGGTTTTTGTAGAATTGCACTTGAATTCTGTGGGTAATGTTAGTTCTTAATACTTTATAAAGATTTATGTAGTAAAGGTTGAAAGCTTTATCCTAGAAGAATTTCCATTTCTTCTCACAAACTTGTATTCCTTTATTGGAAACGGAGTGATTTATAGCTCAAAAGTTTCCCAGTTGGAGAGGCTTTCTAAGAATCACAGAACCAAATTGATTATAGCTTTGCTATTCTGGTAAAAACTTTACTAATTTTTTTCATTGGCTCACGTTCTTGTCTCATTACTATAATGCTTCACTTTTATACTTTCTCTGGAAATGGGCAGTGCATCGGTAACTGAATGAGCTATGTTATTTAATTCCAAGCTGTGGTATCCGTGTATCTAGCCATTTATCAATTTGAGGAAGCAATTCTTTCCTTAAGCCTTGGCCTCCTGAGCAGTTGTTTTTGAAAACAATACTTGGAATTCTCCTAAATCAATACCCCCACTGAGTGAATCCCCAGTTCAACTCTGACACAGTTTGAGTTCCTGGAACCCAGTTCAGGAGCTCTTGTTCCCAATATCACTGCAAATCTTAGAGATGAGGACACGTAGAGAGCATGGTGATGTCAACAGGCAAAAGGTCGATGTCACCCCACTTCATTCGTATATTCCAAAGTGATCGCTATTGCCATCCCAGATTTCTGCCTTTTGATTTTTTTTCCTCTGCAGCCTTGGGATCTCAGTTGAACATCAATCCTCAACTTCAGAAAGTACCCTCAAACAGATCTTTCTTTTCCACAGTATTCTTGGGATTACCTAAATTGTAGATTATAAAAAAATCTCAAATATGCTTTTCAAAGAGGTGAGAAATTTGTTTTTTGCATTACAATTTACCTACCAGGAAAATTGGTGAAATATATATACTTTGATTTACTTATTTACATTAAACAGGATAAAAATGCAGAATATTTATTGAAGTAGGAAACAACCTAAATGCCCATCAGTAGGTGATTGGATCAAAAAATTATGGTACATTTACACAATGGAATGCTATGCAGCAGAAAGAAAAAAAGCACCACTACCCTTCGCGACAGCATGGATGGAACTAGAGAGCGTTATGCTAAGTGAAATAAGCCAGGGGGCGAAAGACAAATATCATATGATCTTACCTCTAAGTGGAACCTAACCAACAAAACAAACAAGCAAGGGAAATATAGCCAGCAACACTGAAAGAAAAAAGAAACCAACAGAGTCAAGAGTGAAAAAGGGAGGGGTGGGCAGGGAAAGGAAAGGGAAGGGTCAAGTCAGGGAACATGTATAAAGGATCCATGAACAAAGCCAAAGTGGGGAAGGATTGAGGGAGGGAGGTGGGGGCAGGGGGCAGGGGAAAGTGGTGGGGGGCAAGGCGGAAACAAATGTATATGAAAAAAATAAATAATTAAAAAATTTTATTATTACTAGAGCATATTTTTAATGAGCCAATTTATTTCTTTTAAATTAAAATGTATTTTACTTTTTTGTAAAGTTTGAGTCATGAAACTTGTTGATGGTTCTACAGGATCCTGGCTACTGGGTGAAGATTCACCACTTAGAATACACAGATGGAGGAATTCTGGATCCAGATGATATCTTGGCAGATGTCGTGGAAGACAAAGATAAGGTAGATGACTGTAAAAATATTCCTCTCTGTTTTCCTCTGTAGAGCTGTGCGTTTTTTCAGAGATTGAGATCCTTAACAAACTCATGTGTCAGTTATTATTAAAAGATACCATCTGTTCAGGTTTCACCTGGATAGCCCATAAATCAAAGTTCTCCATCAGGTGTTTGGAAAAACATTGTCAAGGTTTGGGAATCTGTTCCTGGTAGCCTAATTAGCAGACACGTCACTCCCAAGAGTTCCTGATATGTCTCAGTAAATTAGCGTCACGCTCTGAGGCTGTTGGAATTCTCACTGTCATTGATGTCTCTGGTGTTTATTCTTGGCCCTGGCTAAATATTCAGCTTAATGCCTGAGATTTGAACATGTTTCAAAGTTGAAAATAAAATGGGGAGGAAAGTCTTGTATTGAACTATGGTGAAGACTCTTCTTAAGGTAATTGCATACAACCATCTTCGTGATAGCTTTGTTGTCATTGCTAAAGTAAAACACTGAATTGCATAGTACAAAAAAAGTTTGAACGTGTTTTGCCATCTACTTGGGAATAATCCCATTGCAAATATTTTGTTTTAATGGGATTTTCCTTCTGATGCTAAACTGAAAAAAGTATAAATTAAAGTATCAATTTGCAGTACACTGGAATATTGATGTTGGGACATTGTTTATTACTCGTTCTGTGCTAGGCCCCTCTTATCAATGGTTAGTGTGTCCATCAGAATTGAACTACTGCTCTCTCTGGGAGATCCTTGCATCCACGTTTCTTCTACTGTGCATCTTATGTATTGCTGTGTGCACTAGGCCAATTTATATCTGTAAATATGTTTCTCTGTATTTTTTGCAATCTCAGGTATGGGTGCGTGAGTGAGTGAGTGAGAGTGTGTGTGTGTGTGTGTGTGTGTGTGTGTGTGTGTGTGTGAGAGAGAGAGAGAGAGAGAGAGAGAGAGAACCAAATGGACTAGAATGTAATTTAGTGATTTATTGAAGTTAGGTAAAATTTACATTTTTTTCCATAAGATCTTTTTGGGCTTTTCTAATTTAATTAGTCTTTGCAGACAGCCTGCCCACTTATTTTTCCTATTTCCTGTTGGGACTAGATCCTGGTTTGGTTTGCTTTGCACTGCAATTAGACACATTGTAAGGGATTTATCGCCCTAAATAGATTGTAAGCTCCTAGAGGACATGAACCAGGAGATTTTTGTTTCTTTTGTGTTCCTTGTATTGATAATATCTGATACAGTATCTTATCCAAACTTGATTCTCAAAGAATGCTTACTGAATTAATGAGTGAAAAAGAAAGCTTTACTCTCCACAGTCGACTCAAGCTGTACCTAGTTTTAATGTATACTTCATTTCCGTTATTTGGTCTCACAGTAAATAATAATGTGTTGTTTATGTTCATAACTTCAAAGGAGGACTTTGACTTGTATATTTCACTGTTTCACTTTCTGCTGCTTCTCCACAGCCACATTTTTCCTTTGAAATATGCTAGGCACTTGGGTTGTTAGTGAAGAAGTTTTTCCTGTCTCAAATTTCACTGATGTCCAGTGTATTAACGTGAAAAGCCAAAAAGTGGCAAGTTTAAGAAGAGCCAGAAGAAAATGCGTCACCCAACTCATCCAAGACCTCGTTACAAGAAGGTGGTTTTCTTGAACAGTGCCCAGGGAAATAATCTGTTCAATAGAGCGCTTCCTTTTAGAGAATTCTTTTTAACTACCTCGGCAGTGTGCTTTTCAATCATAGTCCACTTACTAGACCTAGAAACAGCACTATTGTATGTAATGTCTATTTTAAAGGGACTTTACCATCACCGCTAAATAAAGTGAAAAGGTGAGATAATGAGTTAAAATCCTAGCAAAGGATTAGTGCTGTTTGGGTTGAGATTCAGCCATTCCCATAACGTACTTTTCTCTTCTACATGAAGTCTAACTTGTTCTGCAGAGTTGGTGGGAATTTATACTTTCAATATTGCCAGAAAATATTGTATTCCTATCTCTTTTTAAAAATAATACAAGTGACGAAGAGCATCACTGATTGTTTTTCCTCAAATCCTCTCTGCAGTCTTAAGATTTTCTCATAGTTCATATGTCTAGTGTGGAAATAAGGTTCTGCCAGACTTTATTTTACCTGACTTTTTGTCATTTTAGATTAGGAAGTAAGTATAAATGATGCTTCTGGATGTTTAATGACATAGGAAATTCATCGAAGAGCCTTCGAGACATATCGAGCTTAGATAAAATTACAACTCACCTCTTTTCAAATTGACAATTTAATAATCTATTGCATTTAGAATATAGATAGAAAGCCCCTAAGAACCTTGATGTATGTACATAATCCTTGTGCCAAAGCCCACATACCTCAACTCCTAGGGAAGACTCCCTACATATAAGAAATTTTAGTTAGGAGACTTTGATAGCTGGAAAGGATGAAGCAGGAAAAGCAGAAACTTAGAGAGTACTATATAGGCTGAGGCCATTTATATCCATAGAGTATACTTCTGTAAAGACTAAAATTATAGGTTAAATGGTATTTTACTTAAAATCAGACATGGGGTTAATGTAGTTTAGTCAGTTTTCTAAATAAAAGAAATGACTTTCTGAACTTTTGGCACCAGAAGTGGTTTGTCTTTGGTCTTATCTCTCTCATTTCTTTGGCCGGAGCAGCTTTGGAATTTTGCATCTTATGATAGATAATAGTTGCATGAGATTTGTGCTGACACTTAATAATTATCCAGTTGTAACAGTCATTCTCAGAATTCCTCAGTTTTATGTATCAGTCTGGCGATTTAAGTTCTTTGGGATAAATATCTAAGAGTTTACAGATTTACACTAATATCTCTTCTCTGATTGCCCAAGGCTACTGCCTTAGTTCACCTAATAACAACGACTTAATATTTTATTGAGCACTAACTGTGGCCCGGAATGTCTTTGCACTTACATATTCTATTTTAGAGCAACCCCATGAGCAGGAGCTATATATTACCCCTATTTGTAGTTTCTGAGAATAGCTACAGAAGTTGTAATTGACTTGCTGAAGATCACACAGGTATAGTAATTGACAGAATCAGACTCTGGAGACTAGAACTTAAATTTCAACACTCTATTTTGTTCTTCTTCAATGTGCCAAACAATGTGTTGGGTGTTTGTATCTATAATTTCTAATTATGAAAATTCATTAATCATAAATAATCAAAAAAATTTTTCAGTTACATGATTGTTGAGAAAAGAACTATGGAGTATAACAAAATTAATTCAGGATTAGTGTGTCACGCATATATAGTTGGCTTCAACTGTCTTTGCCTGGAGCCTGCATCTAATTTCCTGTAAATGCCTACCGGCTTTACCTCTGTTGCTTTCTCTTGCATCTCCTTTTTCAGGTCCCAGATTACTCAGTTCAGGTACAGTTTAATTCCAAGTGGGCTTTATAGACTATGTTTGTTGCAGAAATGACACAAATAAATAAATGCTATATTCCAGTAACTACTTTTCAGCTGGATTGCAGAATAAGCATAAATTATATAGTATGCTGTGTGCAGGGAGCAGAATAATAGCCCCCAAAGACATCTACATGCTAATCACCAGAATTTGTGATTATGTATGTTACATGGCAAAAAGGGTCTTTGCAAAAGTGATTAAGAACCTTAAAATGGGGAGGTTGTTCTGGGTTGTTTGGGTGAGCCCAGTATACTCACAAGGGTCCTAAGAAAGAGAAAGGCAGGAGAGTCCATATTAGAGAGACACAATAAGAGAAAAGTTGACTGTCCAGTGCTTGCTTTGAAAATGTAGACAAAGAATACAGTCAGCTTCTAGAAGCTGGAAAAAAGCAAGGGAATGAATTCTTCCAAAGAGCCTCTAGAAGGAACACAGTGCTGGGGACCCCTTGGTGTGAGACCATTAAGACTCATTTCAGACTTCTCGCCTCCAGAATTTTAAGTTAAATTTGTGTTGCTTTAAGGCACTGGATTTGTGGTAATTTGTTATAGCAGCAATAGGACACTCATACACTGTCTCTTATCCAGTTTTAAACTTTTAAAGAGATGATGGCTTTCTCTGATTTCATACTGTCTGGGGTTTTTAGATCTTGTGGGGCAGAGAAAATATCTTACTTCAGATTAGTTGATTGATATGTGCATTGGTTCCAAAATCTATCACAAGTTGGTTCTTAATTCATTAGGTGAGACTTTACACTTTGGGACTTGAATATTATGCTGTTGTCTTGTCTTGTGTAGAAGTCATTTCATTGCCATACACTAGAGCAAGTAATATTCCTACATCAGTTTCTCATTGCGATATATAATAGCCCTATGAAGTCTAAAGGTTAATGCTTAATAAGCTGCTGCAAAGTTTATTGTTCACTAATTGTTAATTTTTGATTGTAGAACATTTGAATATTGAACTTTTTAAATGATTGTTTTCCTTGTTAATTGTCATTATATTATCTTGATTTTGTTATAGAAGACAATTGCAATATAATACTGAAATAGTATAATATAAAACTTGTATTATGTAAATTGGATTGCTGCCATGGATTTACTAAATATACAAAAGTAAAACTATATTATGTGGGAAAGTACAGTGGGAGGATGTCTCTATTTTTCACAAAACTTTGACTGTCATCAGAGTTTATTTTGGAGAGATGCCAAAATCCCCTGGACTCCAGCCAGGGTGGATGGGCCTCTAGAAGGTGAGTTGGCTTCCTGGATCATATGTGATATCTGGTACTCAAGTATTACAGTTTCAGCTCAGCTTTATACCTTTTTAATTAGGTGTCCTTGGGCAAGTTTCTTCATTTCTATTAGCCTCAAGTTTCCCACTTGTAAAATGGATAGAATGTTGGTTTTTATCTTACAGGGTTAGTGTAGGAAAACTGTCTTAAGTTTTAAGTATAGTATGGTATATAGTAAGTGCTCAAATGTTAACTGTTACATTAATAATATTATGGTAGTGTTATTAGTGTATTTTTTACCTGAATTTTGATTTAACCATTATTTTTTAAATTTAAGTATT